AAACTGACTGAAAACAGATGAAGGCAAACACCACATTAAAACTAATCTCTTAGTAATAAAGGTGATTCAATCAAAGTTATTCATAAGATTATGAGTGTCTCTGTGGTAAACCGGTATCAGTACAGCTGTAGACTAATATATTCGAAAGGTGCATACATAAAAGTGTTCAGGTTAGAAGATCTTGATCTAAAATCTTCAAAGTTAGTTGGTGAGGAACATATGCTCAACCTAGTTGATGCGGTCAGCTCTCATGCTGTAAGATGATGTCATGACTCGACCATCTGCCGACCCAAAATTGGAATAAATTGAGTATTATATCTGTCTCTTCATTCTGGACAAGTCTAAGTTTGACAATCTGAAGCTTGTACTCGAAAACGTTATGTCGTTTAATTCGCACATCAGTCATGGCCTGGACTGTCATGGAGATGCTGGCCGTTATGTTGCCATATCTTCTGTCTAATGATCTCCCTATCGGAACAACGTCTCTTTATAATTTCAATAAGCTGATGTGTGTTGAAACCTTGAATGCTTCCTCATTTGTACTTAGAAGAAAATGGGCGTTTGAAGACTACGGAAAGAACACCCAAAATGAAACATCTACCAGTAATAAATAAACACCGACTTTGACAATCAGTACAATCAAAGTGGATTGATTATCACAGCTTTGAATACATTTACACCTACATTTTACTAACCGCGATCACTGAGGCGGTCTCTGTAATTTACGATGAATGCAGATATGTCAACGAATTCGCTACAGTTTATTATATAGAACACTTCAGTCTATAATGTGGTTATGTAAACAAGATTTCACATCACGCAGCATATTCTGATCCACTTGTAAGTGATTCATCTGCTGCCTCGATTGTTAGAAATACGATTAATGCTCACAAACTCTATATCTCTTGATTCACAGCAAATTTATTTGAGATGATTACATAACACTTTGTTCGATAGCTGATTAGCTGACTTTCGGCCAGACGATTTGTCAGCCAAACTATGTACCTCAATGACAGGTGCTTGTAAAGTAAATCGTGATAAATTTCTCTGTGCTTCAAACGTAAATGATTCCTATGTGTACTTTTATCACACTTAATAACTTATGCCATTTTCGCATCAATTAGTGTGTAATATTTATTGCAATGAGTGCGTAAATTAAGCCTATTGATTTTCGTTAACCACCTATGACTTCTCATTATATTGGTCGACTTACCTCTTTTGAATTCTATCATCTGCAAACATCTTCAGCCAGAAAACCCACATTGTTCGATTATTGTTAACACCATCTAAGCTCAAATTTATCAGGTGATAAAATTCTGGATTTACTTCACAATAACCCTGAAAATATACTTTGCATTTAAATAATCTGAATAAATTTTAAAATATTTGACTTTGTGTAATTCATTTCTTGTAGTAAATGAGCATGCAGTTGTAGTCGACTCAACATTTTCGATATACAAATACAGTTCATCCTAATACCTAAAAATGTAGAACTGAATCGATTTTAAATTCTCAGCAATAGTCAATGGTTGAGAGAAAAAAACGTTTCATAAGTGTTTAAGAAAGTAATACTGGTAAAATACATCTTTATTCAATCCAGAGTGCCTAAAATTTAAATACGCTTTTTTTAGTAACTCTGAAACGTCCATTTAGTCACATTTATCTCTTGTAAAACTAAAGTAACTTACAGACATACATATAATTTTTTTCATTTATATACACTATGTTCATAAAATCGAGCTTGATTATATTAAGAAATTTGAAGGAAGTCACTGAAACCCAGGAGTTTAAGTAAAAAATTGCGTCGGAATATATGACAATACATTTTGTTAACAAATATCTGTTTATCAAAAGTTGATTTCTAAGGATTTCAATCGCTCTCGATTATGACCACGTATTGGTATCAGTTAGAGAACCATTGAAAGCCAACCAGTACTGAGCAACGGTTTAATTCTAGTGTGAAATCACTTGCAGTACTCTATCACCATAGGGTTTGAAATTCAGGACCTACCGGTTAAAACAGCAACCTCGTATGCCATTCAGCTATTCGGATTCAATTCAACGGCCCACGAATTCTAAGTTACTAATCCGTGAATTTTAGCACCTGGTGTTTTAGAGTGTAGTCGTGACTAGTGAGGTCCATTCAGTCAAGAGTAAGACTGGAGTTTCCGCCGTTGGCATTGATTGGTGGTCACGCTAAATGCATCGCCAATCGGTAGAAGTTAGAATTTGAAGGTCGTTGAATCAGGTCTCAGAAGCTGAACAGTATACGAGCTTGCCTTGTAACCAGAAGGTCCTGGGTTCAAAACCCATTGCGTATGTACCGTCGATGACTCTCGAAGTAGGACGGAACGGCTGTCCTATCCATGGATTTACAATGAAACTCTAATTAATATCAATCTGTGGCCAGTTGCAAAATCTTGTTTTTTGGGATTCTGGAGATCAGCGGTCGGGGGTAGAACAATACTCTCACTGTTGCCTCGAGGAAAGTTTTTCCTAAAGAAGTGGAAATTCTCGTCTTTAGGAGATTACTGAGTAAGTTACCTTTGAAGTCGAGTTCATATAGATAGGGTATCTTTGTGCACGGATGGCGTCTCTTGCTTTTGGATTTTCTGTTTGATATATTCGTCTATGAATCTTGGTGGATATCCGTGTTGTATGAAGATTTCTTTCAGGAATCAAGTTCTTCTTCCAGAGTATCGGAACTACAGATGCGTCAGATGCGAGTAGCAAGAGATCTGATTAGGTTTCTTTTTGACTGATTGACACCCAGCTGTAGAAGGCAGTCGGTGGACTGTTCCATGTGGGTTTTTTATGCATGGACCTTCTCAAAGTTCTGTCAGGTCTTCTTGTAAGTTCAACATCAATGAAAAGGAGTCCTTTTTCTATTTCAAGAGTAAACTTTGTAGCTGAATGGCACTTGTTGAATATTTGTAATAGCTGATTAAGAACCATCATCACACATAAGAAAGTTTTCGTCCACATATCTGGCATACAATTGAAAATTATCGATAATTGATTTGAGTGGGCAATCCTTGAGGTTAGCCACAAAGTAGTCCGCCAGAAATGGCCCCGGTGGAGATCCTACTGCGATCCACATCTTTTTGTCCGTAAATATCATCGTTGAATGAGAACTGTACATTAAGTGTACATCTGATGAGTAGTTCCTTTAAACAAGCTGTCGACAATCCGATATTTAGCTTGTTTTTGCCTATATATTGACAAATATTACAGTTTCCGTTAGTAGGACGTTGGTAATTAGCGGCTAAAATTCACGATACAGCACATTTTCGTTTGTAACGTTGATATCTTGTACATAGTCAACGAACTGAAAGGTGTCACAAAGCGAATAGTGGTGTATCTGTTTTTGTACAGGTTTTAAAATATCAGCCAACCATTTCCCTACTGAATGTTATGGGAAACTTGTTTAAATGAGGATGTTTCATGAACTGAGATGTGGAAATAATACGGACAAATTTCAGCGTATTTATTGCACATACAACAACATATTGTTACTTGTTTTATTGCTCGTGATACCGCCAATTTCGGTTTCAATTGCATGTACATTCCATGGCTTAACACAAAAAGAAGGTGTCATTTTAATTCTTGTTCTGTAAATTAAAATGTTGAAATCATTTCAATCCTCTTTCCATTGATTTCCAAAAATATGAGAATAATTTCAAAACGAAAACTTTCATTACGACAACAATATTATCAATTAATTTCAGTGTCGTCGGTGCCTCGTTTTACGATTGCATGTAAATAATTTAATGTATAACAGAAGACGTCGTATCACTCAGCAATCTAAAGCTGAATTAATTTGAAATTCTCAACCCAAATCCTCATTGGTAATTAAATATTATAATTACGTCGCAAATTGCATGTTTCCATGTCTCAAAGTTGGAGAACTTTCAAAGTTATTTTAGAAACTGATACTGTGTTTACCTCTTTAGAAAAAATAAATTACCACAATATAGTATCAAGGGTCCATTACACGCATATACGGATTCTACTTCTTCGTGATACGCCCATGTTGTCATATATGTGCTTCTTAACAAAACAAATCACAACATCGACTATTCCTCAATAACCGGACACCTGATCCAGTGGTCCATGTATTCCAACTTCTTCCTTCAAATTCTGCCGATTATTTGGATAGATGGTAGCATCTTTGATTAATCTGACCAATACTCGTCGTCATAAATTTTTCACCCACATAAATTTTATTCACTCAGCTATCGGATATCTGTTCGTTGAGTATGCTGATATCAGCACCTCATGAAATGGTATTCAAGCTTTTACTGACTTAATTTTCCAAGAAAACTCCTTTATCACTGAGTAACATTGAAGGCTGATGAGCAAGAATATATGAAGTTGTTTAGTAGAATACATTTTAACCTGTGTAATTTCACGGAAGATATGTTTTCAATAAATCTCTTTCTCCAAGGTCTAGAAATATATCCATGGAAATCATGATAAACTAGGCAGTAATGCTTCTTCAAACTTCATCAAAACTATTCATTCACCCTGGTATACTATTCCACCCGAGACTGAACTCGTCCCACTTATGAAAATGTTTAGCTGAATAATCAAACAAAGAAGATTACTGTGGATTTTAGATTCGCTGAATTATTGAACATCCTCATTACGAAAATTGAGACCATACTTCTAAATAAATGCGGATAGCAACTACCAGAAACTGACTTTGCATTAAAAACAATGGGTATGCTATCTTCTACTCGAGGATTCCAAAGTTTTCTAACGACAAAGTCACTGTTCAATTTCTACTCCGAAGAAATCGATAGGCATTGGGAATCAGCATTTTCTCTGTATCGATAAAACAGCATAGTTTCATTTGTCATTCTTAGTTGTCAGTGTGACATATTTAGTGGTATCTTTTAGATACTTTAAATCTGAAAGTGAGACAGACATAACGTTTGAAAGTATAAGGAGGCAAAGGTGTTGTGCGTTGATATATTTTCAGGCGATATCTTTGTGTTTATTGGTACGAGAATTTTTATAAATACCTCTGCATTCAAAGAAAGTTTTATTAGAAATGTCACATATATGGGCAACATTTGTATTGTGCATCGTCTTCAGTGGGATTATCTCTGCTGGAGGAGGAGGTAAGCATTTGTTGTAGGAATACATCAGAAATTTACTATGATTTGTAAATGTTTCAAACCTTTCCTGTCATCGTTGTCTCGTAATTCAGAAGAGAATCCTAATGAGGAAGAATTAGGCAAATAAAATGGATTCAGAGAGACGAATTTCGTTAGCTATTCAAGTTATCTCACTATATGTTAGCTGATTTACATGTATAATCCATCTATTAAGTTACTGATAACTGCAACACTGAACTAAAGGTCATCAACAGAATGAACTGTGTTGTGGGTCACTGGTAGCATACATAATCAGCTATTTTCCGAACAACATTTTGTTCTCCTAGGTGGTAACGCAGGAGGTTGCGATCATCTAAGTAAGTCAGATTTTTATCATAAATCTGTGCAATAAAGCCAAACTCAAAGTCTACCAGGGACGAAAGCAGAGTTTCAATGAAGACATCAGTGTGTTGAATTGAGCCTAAGTGTGGGCAGTGATGCAGTATAAACTCGGAATAAAACAGCTAAGTCATCGGCTTAAAAGCATTCATAACCTGAATAAAAAAGCGATTCTTGAAGACCAACAGTGAAATAAACATTCCGTGATTTATCTCAATGTCTACCTGAAGACAGTAGAACAAAATAACCAACCTTTACTGGTAATACCTATCATGAGATACTTTAATCACGGCCACATATATTTAAATGGTTATGGATGAATGATTACTCCACAGAGGAGGGAAGTTGACCTCATGTTGTAACGTTCTAAGGTAATTCTCTTAATTATTCAGAGGAACAGCTTAAAACTTTGCGTAAGTCACCTGCTTATTTTTTAGTATTATATCAAGAATTGTCCCTTGTGTAATTGGAGAATGTCGACAGTTTACGCGTGTGAATGATTCATTTAGTCAGTTCCACGGATTAGCTGGAACCAACAAAAAAAAGTATTTCGTTCACATCTCAAAGTATAGACAGTCTGCTTTTAGCATAACATCATTTTCAACTCTATCCAAGCCATCGGTTAAACTACAATAAACATTCAAAATATGGAAGTAATGAGATCTCAGTCATCACCGAATTCTCTTATGACTGAATCACTAGCTTAAATTTGAAAGGTGATCTAATCGTTTTCAATGGAAACATTTGGCCATTTAGAGCCTAATTGGATACTATGGGAAAGCAATCAATCGACATTACCTTCATATTTCGCCTCGAGTGAAGCAGACATCTATAGGCAACAGAGGACGAGGTTTCTGGGAGTATTTATTAAACTTCCCTTTCGCAGGCTAAATAAAAGCGCACTACAATTTCAGTGTTTTACACATTGGCCGAATTGCGTTACACTAGGAAAAGACTCTTTCTTAAGTTGTGCTGATCACCATCATCCATACACTACTAAATGAGTATGATTCTTAACCAAGATTCAAATATTCATAATCCTGCCTTCAAGGAAGCGCACCGGTTCACCATGCGTTCACTTATTCTCCAGTCATTTATTTTCCTTTTTTATATCAATCTGATAAGTGACTGGTCATTTTTGCGCATTCAATGAATGTGTAACCTTCTAAATGCCACGATATTACACCCAAAGTCGGTAATGCAGGCAGTAAGTCAATTAATTTTCAATATGTCGCATCATTATTGTGTGCATATATTGAGATGTAAATTTTTAGTAAGTAACATGTGTAGTCCCACAAAAAAGGTACACACAGTTCAGTTAAGAGGATATTTATTTAGACACATCAATTTCGCAAAATGCAAATATGGATGTGTCTACAGAAAGTTCACTTTTGCTTAGTATATTAGTTGTTTTCAACATAACGTGTCCACTATTTTCCGTTTAACGTGCTCATTCAACTGAAGATTCCAGCAAGCCACAAAGGTTAATGTAATTATTAGTGAACTTTATCTGATTAAAATGCTTGGATTATCATTTAGAGAATTAACCTGAAGGAAATGAACGTCGTATGTGTGATGTATCAAAGGAGATTCACTTTCCATTCAAATATCCATTTTCGATTAGTATTCAGTTAAATTACTGAGTTTTCAGTTAGATAAACATCAACAGCACTCAACATCATCGATCACTGAATAAAGTAACACAACTTTGGAATCCGTTGCTAAAAATACTTACATTTGAACTGGTATTTCGTTATTAGTGGAAGCAAATTGTGAAAGAATTAACGTTGTTGACGGTTTCCAAATCCCTTAAGATGAATACCAAAATATAAACACACATACACTGTGCTTGTTCAGTGTTCTGCAGCGTGGAATCGTTGAAATTGTCTAAACTATGTAATCTACTGAATTGTATTCACATTAGTTGTCTTCATAATACAATAGGTTGCAAAAGTGAGTTACGAGTACAATGCATAGACATGAATGACGCTGAACAATTAAGGGATATTTGCAAGTCTTACTGATTTAGCTCTGTTAGTAAAGGCAATTCAGTCTGACTCCAAGGATAATGTTGATAAGTCAGTCAATTATTCATCTGATGTTTAGTACATTCTATCCGGCGGTCACATCACTAATTATGTGAATGTGTGGTTCCAGTCAACTGACATCATTCACATGTAGATAAAATTGTATGCACTAGTTCACAGGGATATCAGGCGTTAACGTTTATGTATGTTTGGCTTATTTGAATCAAATTTCAAATTTACCTTGATTAAAAGTAAACAATGGAGAGGTTCCACTTATACATAACTCCGTTTACATGCATATGGAAACTTCAAATGAAGAATAAGTGAATATTCTGTCGAAGCAAACATTTCGCTATTTTTGCAATAGAGAATTAATACAGTAAAAGCAATCATGTGTTTCTCAAATATGAATTAGAACAAGCCGGTGAGTCACTTCAGGTGTTGTGTGAACATAATATTAGACTAACGTACGATGAGATCCCCATGTCAAGTATCATTGATTTTAAATGAGTTGTCAGGGAGAAAGTAATTTGACAAACTGATCAAAAACCATAACAGTGGATATGCTTTTTTGTTTACGTTATTTATTAGGAATAGAATGCTGATAAAGAAGGAATAGTTACAAGCACTTGTCATCATTGAACATGCATTTCGTGTAATAAGCAAAGTGATGTACTGTATTATTCAGGAAGTCAAAACCAGGTGACGGATCACCTTTCTCTTGACGTTATTCTATAGTAAAAGACATCTTTGTGAATAATAATTTGCATTTTATTTTGTCAATAAAAATTGAAGCACAAAGTGGACTCGAACATGATGACGGTTTGAGTTTCTGCCTTTAAATTAGCATTTGTGAATGAAGAATAAACAGCTTTGCTTAAAACTTTCACTGAATTTCAATAAATAAAAATCATATATAATTATTCACATCTCTGAATGATCAGTTTGCATGGAACTACAAAGACGCTTTCAACAAAATCTTAAACATTGTTTCAGCTGAAAAGATTTTAGATAGTAAGTACAACTGAAATAAAGATTAGTTAATGACTAGGGAACATTTATTCCTTATGAAAAGAAATTGCTTCTTGTGTCATTTTTCAACTTCAAATTTGATTGTTAATTAATTAAAAGCAAAAATTTATGTTGGGTATGAAATTCAGTTAGACGTTTTATCCACTCAATGAACTAGAATACTTTGGCTTACGAAAAACGCGAAAGAGTCGACCTTTACTTCAATATTTCATTCAATGGGATATTACAAACAGAAACAGATATCAAACATTGAACCCACAGCAATTACACATTAACAGCGTTTTTTCTGACCATAACATGAGTGCTTCGTGAACAAGAAAAAGCATACATGTTGTTTGTTATTATTATTATTATTATTCATGGTGCCTTCAGAAAGAAAGATAAGGATAACTGTAATTTGTGCCAGTTTGTGATGATAACGTCTGTCAGTTCTATATGCTAATAGGTGACCACAGCGCTTCGCAGTTTGATAAATTGTACCACAGCTAGACGAAAAAGTATATACGGTACAGACTGTTTATGTGTAAATTAACTTTTCATTCATGGATTTTACGTGTTTATTCATTCGCAAGTAATGTATGAATGCCATGAAAGTATTGTTATCGTTATTTGAATATTTATTGGTTTTCATGTAATCAGTACGATGGAAATTATTCAAAAAGTCTTTCGTATAACTAAATGTCTACTTCAATTATGTCATTAAAGAATTAGTGGGTAAGTCTTTCAAAGGCACAGAACATGTGGATTGGTGTCACTTGTGAATATCACTTGCCTTCATTTACATGAGAATACCGGTTTTGTTTATTGGAACTTGGCAGCATTTAATTTACTGCATTTGAATTGGATTATTTTCAGTTTCCCTGACCGGCAAAATCCGCTTGATTAACAAATGACTTCAATGGATGAATTCTTTGTAAGATGTATGAAGTTTCTTTTTATGTGCGTCAGTGGCTCAGCGGTTAGGACTCACGCCGATCATGGTGCAGCGTTCGACCCCTGCAGACGCACACCCGATATATATGGTCAGCCTGCAAAATTTGGGCTACCGTTATCATACGCTGAAAATTCCATACTTATACCAAAAATACGGTGTGGAATCAAGCTGTAATAAAAAAATGTTTACTAAACCAAGGATGGTTATTCTTTTCAACAATTTTCGTTAATGTTTAAAAATCCACCTGATAGAATTACAGAAAAAAGCTCAAGGTAACGCCCAGTTTATCGTTAAATAAATGATTCATATACATATCCATTAATTCCATTTGGTACAATTCGTACTGTTCAATAAATAACCACATGCTAGCCGATATATGCTGCTATTTTAGTTCACGAATTTTTAGCTTTCATAATGACTAAATGGTCAAGTATTCTTCTACTTGGAACGAATTACTGCTCTGGTATTTCTGATGCAGTGTTCACTTGAGCTCATGAGGCTGCGTAGGTGAAACAAAAGCTTGTTTCACTGTGAATTGAACTGTATTGCTTGCTAGAAATGGATGTTGCTTAGGCTCGGATTTCATGACAGAGTTGCTGACACGCCAATTAAAACTCGTATTTGTTCAATTTACCATCAGGCCAAACCGGTAACGAATATCCAACCTGTAAGTGAAAAAACGTCCGGTATCAATATGCTTACTGAATTTTTCAATAATACAATGGTAACCGAGGTAACTAGTTTGAATTATGTGATACTTCCTTTCATGCATTTAATGGAATGTAGTCAAGAAAAGCCGCATAATCACTTCAAAACGTTCCGATGTAGCACATGGGAATTTTTACTCCATCTAAATAACCATCAAGACATCCTTTGTTTCACTTATCAATATGCTCAGTAGAATTTTAGTGACCATCTAGAGTATAAAGATCGTGTAACCAATACAACAAGTCAAAACACGCTAATTCTATATTACTAACATTTACAATATCTAAGAGTTGAAGAAAATCTTTTGGAAGTTGTGAATGTGTGTAATCTACCGTCACGTGAAACGCTTTTGAATTACGAATGAACAGCTGTAGTGAGAAAAACGAAATTCGTCGAAATTCTTCAAATTTCTTAATGATACATGATACCTGCATGTTGGAAACTCAGTACAAATGAAAATGCAAATGGATTTCAAATATTTTATCAAAACTCCAATGTTCTTGCCATCGAGTCTAGGGTCTGAAACTCTTCGGGCTTCCCGTTCAGATTATTATCGAATAAGAAGATTTTATAGTTGCGACTTTCTGAATTAGTTACGAGATGTTTTCCTCTTAAGGTTCAAATATTTATGCATGTAAGTTAATTAATGATTTATTTGAATAAAATCGAATTTGGACAGTCAGAGTATGTTGCAAATGTCGGCCGAAAGAATCTTCTATTTTTCAAATGCAATATTCATTTGTATTGAGACTAACTGTTGACTGTTCTGTTCGCAGTGAAGTAAAACGCTTTCTTGTCTAGATTACTTTGAGCTGCAGAACAACGCCATTATTATTTTATGGTTTTAGTGTTGAAACATAAAAGTCGAAATAATAGGAAACAACTCAAGCATACGCTTCTCAACTTGGATGACCAGTGGTGATCGTTAAGTTACAAGTGTAGAAATTTGTAAACTGCATTCCTGCCTGTATGTAATGGCAGAACATGAACCAAATTTTAATATGGAGATTATACGAATTGCATCATTGATCGTTCACAATGTGGTTTCTATAAGTGAAATTGTTTACTATTTTCTACGCAAAATTTCGCAACACAGTGGAATGAAGTTGCGTCTTCCAGGAGATAAATTCCTGGTGATAATGAAGTTAAATTGAAGTTATAACATGAACACGAATGTGACTAGAGTTGATAATAGTGGAGAAAACAAGACCGGTAGTAGAAGCTATAGCGTCTCCAAAATTAACAAATAATGAATTCTGAAACCATTTAAAAATTACTTCAATGTCACTGATTGTTGAACTCTTTTGAAACTCTAAGATGAATGAAAATGTCTGCAACAGTAAATACTCATTGAGTCAAGAAAAAAATAAAAGACAAATTCAGCAAAGAAATTTTCTATATCGGCGATATCATCTGCAGGGGCTGTACAGTCGTATTTATATTTACCGAAATGTATAGTAGTCTGTTATTGAATAGTAAGTGGAAGGGGTGACAATTGATATAATTACTTAGGAATGAATTTAGAAGTAAAAATAAAATTTGTAAATTACATGGCACTCAACGACACAAAGTCAGAAATTTGATAAGGTCAACATCGCTACTGAGTGAGAACGAATGAAGCTGAGTGTCAATTTAACAAGTGTTAAGAGGGTGTGAAAATGTACAAAAGGAACCTATGAGAGTGATAATAATGAATTAGGTATTAAAGTAGAAGCAAACTAAAAGTAGAATTCAAACTTTAAAAAAATAAAAATATTTACAGGGAATGATTAGTGAATAGGTTAAGACCAAGGTGGAATAAAAGAATGGACAAACGTTTTCTGTATACAGAGTTTAGGATTGTATTGACTGATCACAAAAGCCAAAACCTAACACCCTCTGTACAATATCGTCGACTCTGGTAGAGCCTCGTGGCTTGAGATCACTAAGTGTTCGATGATTGAGATAGTAACTGTTTTGCATTTTCCTTTTGCAAACCATGCCGTATAAAAGACCACTATGCATTTTTATTAAACACAAATAGGACTGCACAGCCTCTGAAGACGACTTCGTCGATAAAGGAACTTTTCTTTGCTGAAAATGTCTATGTATATATTTATTTATTTAATAATTATTCTTATGTCAATTCTACTCTAATTTATGTGTATATTTTGTTTTTAGTAGGGAATATGAGCTTTCCAGGCGCTCCTAGTAAGTCATTCTACCATTGCAATGAATAATGAATACATTATCCTCATGTATAATTCCCAAGACCATTCAAGCATTATTTTGAATTTCTCACATTTTAGTGAATACGAATATCACATACTGTTTGTTCGTTTTGACTGAAAAATATATTTCCCCTCGCAGATTTAATTTCTCTCAATACAGACAGAAAGACTTTCACAAGAACTTTCCACTTGTTTGCATTTAGACCTACGTAAGCATATTTTATATTTTATCGTCGACATTACGCTAAAATACAACTATCGGTGCATCCTATAAACACTGATTTACTAGTTGTTGATTCACCAGTATCTTGGTAGAGGGATTTCTAAAATCAATTTCGGATTGGAATAAGTATTTCAAACTTCCTTGATATAAATCATTTAAGAAAGAAAACATGTAACCATGTTCAGAATGTTATATATCTCCTATTGTATTTGTATTTCAGCTGTCAAAAAACTACAGTAAGTCAGTTTGTTTTATTATGCTAATAATAATAGCTATATTGAGGAAAATAACTTTATTCACAGTATAGAATTTTCGACGAGTTTTATTCCAAGGTGTTTACCGATTAAGCGTAATCTTTAATAATATAACAATTGACAATGTATCATTTGAACTAATTTTATTTCATCTACACTATGCTCCAGTGCCACTCCGCAATGGTCCTCTTCCATTTCCTTAAAGAATCCCTAAGTGATAGAAAAGAACCTGTTTAGAATTGAAATGTTGCTTTTCATTGCTAAGAGATCGCTGTTCATTGAGAACATTTTGAAACGGAGTAAAACCGATACATTTTCATGGACAAAACGTTTAAGTAGCTAGATGGTTCAAACAGGCCGCAAAATTTCCGGCGGATATTTGAAACTTTCATTCAACCAACAGGGCTTTTATTACGACAACAGAAGACAACACATGCAAGTTAAGGTATATTTTCATTGATCCCACTGCTGTTCACATATCTACAGTTTATATTTCTTAACTAATCATTGAGCGTGTGATTTTTGTTTACACCAAACGACATGAAATAGAATGTTCAAATATACACAGTATTATGTTGCTTACGCAGTTGGAAATTGTTTGAATTTATGGGAGTAATATTGCGTTGGCCCCCCTTTGTTTATATCACACCGACATACTCCCAAGATTCTCCAATGCAATGTAAATAAAACTTGGTGACCAAGTTGATATGATTTCACCAAACGTTTGTATATATCTGAAGAAATAAGTCCCTTCCACTCCTCCATGTAAATCGATTCTATGTAAATCTATTCTATAAAAGGAATGTAGGCCTTCAATTTCACAAAGTATATTTCATATGTAGTTGAAGAAAATATCAGGCATGAAATAAACTTCAACATTTTCATCTTGAGTCTAATCTATGTACATGCAATTTAAAATAAGCAGAGACCGAACTAAACCACTCCCCTGAGCTATGGATAATTGGTATGAAACGATATACAAATAAGAGTCAACATTCATATACCATAGAAATTTTGAAAATTGGTGGTCCTCGATGACTTAAATTTGGTAGCATTATTACTTGCCTTTACGTTTTGTGTGTCAATTCAACAGATGAGCAGTTTCAGTTCCAACATCTCGACACACATAAAGGGCTTCAGCTGAGTCTTTCAACCTCCATTGAAGTTTCAAGTCAAATTGCATCCGTGTATAGGAATATGCTAACCAGGAGAAAAGAAGACCTAGATATTCGCTGGAAAATAACAGTATAGTAGTTACTCAAACAAACACTGCATTTAAGTATTTAAGCTGGAGCTCAGAGAACAAAACCACATCAAAATCATCCACCTCAGCTACAAATCTTCTCTATCATATCTAAGTATTGGTTTGTAGGGATATAGTTGATTGGTTGCAGGATTTCATCACGAGGTGACACTGGTTAGAGAACTGATATAAAACCTGGGAGTACTAGACAGCTGTTTCGTAGACCATTAGGCTCGCCTTGTAACCAGAAGGTCCTGGGTTTGGACCATGGTGAGTGTGTAAAAAAACATTTTTTTAAATAAATGTGCTGCTGAAGAGTCCTAAACTAGGACCAGGTTTTTACATTGGTTCATTAAATCCTGAAACACTGCATTTATTTATCGGTAGACTGTAAGGCATCTACTAGCTTGGGTAATTCACTGCCGTTCAAAGTGTGCCCGTTAGATATTCATCAAGCGGTGGTGACAAGAAAAGATATTTCAGTGAAAAAGTAGCAAATATCTTCAAAACAAGCTTATTTCTGTAGATGTGAAGAAAACTGGTATGTCCTTAAGCCACGCCTGACCTCTTTACTATTTGAAAACAATTCTAACACTTCTCATTAAGTTATTTTTAATTCCATGAATGTTTTTTTTTAAAATTGAATGTTCACCATTTTTCCACGTCTCACAATTATGCATCATGCTTGTTTATTATGTTTAGATAATCCGCGTTGCCCACTGAAGGTGGTTGTTTTTCATCTCTATCGAATATTGTCATTAACATCACAGTATCATCTCCAACAGAATAATGTACCGATGTCATACCCTTCCATCATTACTTATTTGTTTCTTTTTGTTAAATGTGTTTTATAAGAAATAATAATAAAAATTATAAATTTACAACAGCCTGTTACAATAGTTTATTCATCAAACAAATAAAAATCATAAGTTCCTTACATTTGGTTCCCTTGATAAATTTCCATAAAGAAAGGAAGACCAGAATTGCGTATGAAATAATATCATCAGTCCATTTCACAGGTTCTCATCAGCTGCAAACTACCTGAAATTACAATGGTTATAAATAATAACATTTCAGACTTCACTGTTTGAATGGTAATAGAGAAAACATTTTATGATGAACGCATCCGCAATATAAGTATTACAATTTATAGTTTAAGTCACCATCAATTTATTCGCTATCAAACTATGGAAAAATGATGAGGGTGAGGGAAAACAGAAAAATCTAATTAACAGTCTTTGTTGTACGTCGACATGGCAACTCAACAAAGGTAGAGTTCATCGAGCCGAAAACTTGCTTAGTGAGTTGAGCTCACTAGTGTGTACGCCTTATCAATGTAATGTAGGTAAAACGGTTACCGGGGTAGCGATAGACTGACTACACTCTCTTACTGTGCGCATAAGTCTGATGTGAGATACTTATCACAATTGCTTTGGCAAGTCGTAGTAGGTACGCTGTCATTTGTATGTTTAATATTTTAAATGTTTTGGAAATCTCGACAAAATGACACATATCCACAAGGTGTCTGGTCATTGCACTTTGTAATTATTTGCTTCCTTTTAAGCATACGTTTCTCGGAATATGCTCAGACAACAGGATAGAAGCCCTTCTTTCTGTCCTTCAAATGTACTTGCTGCCACAGGTGCAAGTAAATTTACAAATGCAGCTGGAGTTAAAATCAGCAAGGTACTTGTCTCATTTCAATTGGCCTATTGAGCATGTAGTGCTGTAACGTGTCACCAACTTGGGTGCAGGGAAACAGCTCTTTATTGCTTCTTTCATCCTTTTTTTCAATCTCTTGTGATTATTCATCTCTTTTGAATGGGAGGCGAAGGAACATTTTCTTCTTTCCGACTATGGATACTTTGCTTTCTTGTCTCATTCGTTGCTATATTTTAAGATAATTTTCTTTGGATACCTGTTTCCCTCAAAGAATTTTTAAACAGAGCTATGTTTCGTGAACATATCACTGCAATTTTAGGTAGCTTGCAGATGATGAGAACCTATGAATTAGAGTAATATCATCCTATTCTGCAAATCTGTTGTTTCTTTCTCTGCTGAAAATCAGAAGTATGTTGACGACAAGGAACATAAAGAAAAGAAAAGTTAAGTTAGACGATTCAGTCTAGAGTAAACAAAGTGATGATCTTGAACTCCTTGGAGCTAATCGTTCGTGGAAATGTCTACACGGAAATTTCCAAATCGAGATAATTAAGACATACTTTGAGGTATATGTATTGTATACAGTTCGGTCACTGCTGATAGGATTTATTCTCCCAAATCTAGTCTTATGACGCTGCTTTGAAATAAACATCCCACACTTTGTGACTCAATAAAAATGGGATCCAAAAATCAACAATATTGGAATTACGTTTTAAAAATCTCTGCAAATATCAACGTGTTTCCAGGAGTAGGCAGGAGTTTACGTACGTTTTAAAAAGTCAAAATGAAGATATCCTGCACAGAAGACTTCATCTAACCAAAGGCAGACTCTTTGCAAAAACCAGAATGGAGATCGATAATCATGATGCAGGATAAATGGTATTAGTCAAAGAAATGAAAACACGAATTGCTTAGTACAAGGGATTAGTAAAGAGGCTGTCACATGTATAATATTATTAAAGGATAGATATGAAGTAAATTATTAGTTTTATGAAAAAAGATGCAACCAGGCTAAAGGTAAATTCTAGTGTTTTCTGAAGATATAGTTTCAGGTGCCTGTGGTCAGTTGAAACTGTTCTCATCTCTTTTTTAATATTGAATTATAGTTATGTGAAGCAATTCAAAAACAACCGTTCCCACCAATTTGGTCACCAGATATTATTAAATAGCCTGCAAAATATGTTAGTAAAATCCTATTCAAATTAATTACCTTTAAGTATTCCATTGGACGTGATTACCAATTTCGAATATGTTATTTACGAAAATATTTTACCGTTTTGGTGCTTCCCTTTATATATGTGACACAACAGTTGCAGGTTTTAAGTAGACTTCAGACAGGAATTGAAAATATTCGAGCTATAAGGAAAAAGATACGGCTATAACAAT